AGTCTCTGATAATGAAAAATATTAAAATTCCAGGTGTCCTATATAATAAATAATAACATAAGCATAAACTTTGGCTTCCCACCAAATCATCAACATGGCTCATTTTGAACTTTGCCTAGTTCCTTCAGCTATGCGGATATAAATAAATAATTCTGCTTGATAAAGCTCTGGGAATGCTATACTTAAAAAGATAAGAAAGCTTTGAGGGGAAATTGTTTTTAAATCCATAACATTTGTATGCTGTTCGCTGTTCATACTGAGCAAAAATTCATTCAGTTGGCAGTTAACCAACCCTATTTTATTCTTATTCTGTGTTCAACCTGTCCTTCTCCTGGGGACATCTAACCTTATATGTAATTACCTCTCTGAGAGTGGGAAGGAGGCCTAAATAACCTTCCTAACAACTAAATAAATGCACAGATCCCTGGGACAGGTTATCAGTTGGATGCTGGTGGCAGAGCTATCAGGAACAGTGTGTTTGAGCCATGAAGAGTTTCAAAATTTGAGTCGTTTTCTTTCCAGCACTGGGCCAAAGAACTAGCATTTGAAATGTTTTCAGAAAACCAAAATAAACCACCCTGGGTTTTCAGATGGTTTTTGTTTCTCTGATAGCTTGGAAATAACAGTGATGAATTTTAACAGTAATGATGGGGTTTTTTTTTCTCTTAAGGTCTGTCCAAGTCACTTGGTCTCATTGAAGGCTATGGTGGACGTGGTAAAGGTGGGCTTCCAGCCACCCTGTCCCCTGAGGAGGAGGAGAAAGCAAAGGGACCGCATGAGAAATACGGCTACAACTCCTACCTCAGTGAGAAAATTTCACTGGATCGTTCCATACCAGATTATCGTCCAACCAAGTAAGTACCAATTGCTCCGTGAAGGAGTGCACGTGTTTCGGTGTCATCCGAGAGCCAGGAGTGATGGTTGCATTCACACTCTCGTGTGATGCTGTTCGCTCCTCTCTCCTGAACATTCACAGGGCCATGCTCATTGATGAGCAGCCAATGTAGTTTGGCTGAAAACAGAGCTAGTTCATAAAAAGGATTTATCAGAAAAAGAAAGCGAGTTTCTTCCCACTCTTGCTTGCTTTTTATTTTCCTGAAGCAATTCATTATTTTGGGTGGTAGTAATGCTCACATCTGCTTTTGTCAGCAAAGGGCTGTTCACTGAGCTATTGGCCTTTGGTGCTTATTACCCTGTAAATGTGCACAAAGACTGTCCCCCTCTCCTCCCTTGTCAGCTCCTTCATGTCCCCACAAGACCTGCGGGACTCTCTGGCTGCCCTCGTGCTCCTCCCAGCCCAGGCGTCCTCCTGGGACGCTGCCGTGGGATCTCCCGTTGGAGATGTGTGCAGGCGCCTTTGAAGGGAGCCCAGTGCCTCAGGTGGCAATATCCTTGCTCCGCTATTTTTCCAGAACGAACTTTTAAGATGATGGCAGTGATGATGTTTGCCTGCTAAGCACCGCAGAAAAATAGACTTTAAATGAGATGCCAAATCATTTTGTTAAGAGTGTGAGACAAGACATGCTGTAAGTTTATCTTTATGAAAGTTAATTTTAGATATGGCTAGCAGAGTGTTCCCCAAAATAGGAAAGTGACAATTTGTCCAGGCCTGGAGTGAAATCCCTGATAAAAAAAAAATGAGCTAAGAGAGATTTAGATTCTGAAAGATACATGTCCAATGCCGGTGTCATTAGGACAGTGACAAAGCCATTGCTTGGCATCTGCAAACCATTGACAATCATGCAGCAAGGGGATGCGGCTACATGTCTCTGGCGTACTGGCAAATTGTTAAGGATGTGAGAGCATGGAGAGCTTTTGTTCCTTCACTTCTCTGCATGCTGCATGAATTTCAAGCAGCCACTCAGAGTTTCCAAGGCTGTCAACCACTTACAACAGAAATATTTGGATGAGTTTTCAAAGGAATTGGAGGCCCAGCCTCCAATTCTGCTGGTACAGTTCATCTGGACAAAATGAATTACAGGTACAAATTGCACCTTTGGCTATATGATATGCAAATCCCACTACAATGACAAATCCTTGAAGTGAGACCTTCTCTAGCAGTTACCTGAGTCTGAGCTCCTTATTTTCATTTCTCATCCAGAACTCTGACTTCTAGCAGAGCCAGTATTACTTTGTGAGAATTAATTTCACAAGTAATGTTGGGGTTTTTTGGTTTTTTTTTTTTCAGATCTTGGGGGGAAGAAAAGGATTAATTCTGACAGTTTTAGGTTTTCATTGTATTCTTCCTCAGTGCCACTATCTGTCATTTCATGGGAGGGTGGTGGAGAGGACAGAGCAGACAGAGCAATTTATTAAATATGCATCGTTTTGGAGCTGGGCTAATGCTTTGGAGAGAATTTGTGGGTACTGACTGCAGCTGCATAACTTAGTGTCTTTTATCTATGTAGTAACTTCAGGAGTGTGTGTTGGTCATTGCTTTTTTTTTTTTTTTTTTTTTAGGAATCAATTGTTTTGGTATTGTAAGAGAGCGGTTGGCTTGGTTATGAAATAGCCTTGATCTTGCTGGAGGATTTGAAAAGTTTCACCTTTTTCTACTTGTGACTTCAAGATCCATTCGCTATTTTGTGCGTGCAATTTTATGGCTGATTTTATGAAGGGTTTAATACAAACCATTTAAGTCAAGTATCCTGGTCTCTGATTAAAATAGATTCAAGTCAAAGGAAATTAGCCTAAATGGTTTTGAAATTGCGGCATTTGTGGGGAAAAAATGTTGAAAACCCTCCAGCTGATAAGCATTACAAAGCCCGTATTAGTTTTAAATATAATAGTGAAGCCCGTTTGGTTCAACTAAAGGCTGTTCAGCTAAGCCGATGGACTTGGACTGTTCCTAGCAATGGCTGTCACTCATGCGTTCTTTCCTTTTAATTTTATCTTTTTTTTAAAGAAAAAGATTAACATGATCAAGTGTCACTCTCCCGGATGCTGTGCTATGCTGAATCAGATCTCTTAGTCCTTTTCCTGCCCCCTCTTTGTGAGCGTGGCCAAAGCCGAGGGGAGATCAGGGGAAATTTGGCACGAGGAATCTTTCTGTATTTGGACTCCCTGCACCTCAGTGTGGTCAGCATCACTAAGGGTTCAGAGATGCAGGTGTCTCTGCTCAGAGTCATTTGCAGGCAGATGTTGGCAATGAGGAGGCATTGCGATCCCAGCTGATGGCCTTTCGAATCCCTGCCCAGGGGCAGCAGAAAGGATGGAGGCGACGTTCCCTGGAGAAAGTGTCCAAGAGGTGGATACAGGATGGCGCTTAGGAGAATGTAAGGTCTTTCCCAGGGCCAGGAGTGGGAGCAGAGTATCTTGCTTGATTTGGGGAATTGTGGTGATTCTTTTTGGTAGTTTCGATTATCATCTTCATTTTGGTTATAAAATGCAGTTTATTTGAGAGATTTCTCTCTTCTCTTCCTGCTTGCCTAGACTGGAAGGTAGAAAGCCCACTTGAGCAGTATTGGGCTTTACACTGGAGTGATTCCCAAAAAAAGTGCTGCTGATCATACGGATACATGAAATAGGTGTGTGGTGCCGATACCATAAGGGAGCTGTGCCTGTGAGACCTTAGTCTTGAGCTTGTTAATACTGATGTTTCTGATCCTGGCCTTCTGCTGAGTAGGAAAGGTTGTGCTGGGTGTGCAATATGATGTGCTTTTAGGCTGAATCAGATAATGGTATTACATTTTGGATGACTGAGAAAGCTACTCTTTTGGCGAAAATAAGGGAGGAGTAGTATTTTGGTGCAAGGGACCTTATTTCAAGTCTTGCTGCGGAACAGAGGCATAATGAAATAGGCATGGGCAACACATTTCTATCTTGCTCGATTAGGTTTTTGGACTTTAAGATGAGATTCCTGCGTGTTCTGGAAAACAATTACTGCTTCTAGATTGGAAGTACCCAAGGTGCTGCCCGCAGACTGCAGGACTTCTACACAAATCTCCAAAAAAATGAGCTGGAGAGATTTTCTTCAATTTTCTGCAAAAACTGCGAAGGACAAGGCTGATCTGTGAGTTTTATTGTTGATCAATTCACAGCATTTCTGCTTGCCTATGAAGGATGGGGGGGTTTAAGAAGATATGTTGTTTTCTTTATTGAAAGTGAAGCATATTTACATGGGATCCTAGGGGCCGCTAACATTCCCCGCTTTGATGCTAGATTTTATGCACCTCTATTATATTCTGTGATGTATGATCTAATGGGAACCCCTCCTACATGTAGCAGGAAAATAAAAATTGCTGTGTTAGATCAGTCTGCCTGTCCATTTTATCCAGTATCTAATCTCCGATAGTGGAATTACCAGATGCTTCAGGTTGAAGAAATCATATTAAGGAAAACTATGAAATAATCTGCCCATCTGGTATGTTCTGTCTTCTCTATTCTCTCTTTTCAATCCTATCTAATATAAATGTGGAGTTCTCATTATCTCTTTAAAAGTCTGTTCCTTTCTGGAATCCTGCTAAGCTCTGATTCAGTGGTATTTTATGGCATTATGGGATTAAGGAGTAGATTTAAGAAAAATAATACCCACAATTGTTAGGACTATTGAATCATTGGGTGAAGATGACATATTCCTG